CCCCAAAACCCCAAAACCCCAAAACCCCAAAACCCCTTTAGTTTTGAGGGTGATAGAAGGAAATATAATAAAATGGAAGTTTTGAAATGAGCGAAGGGTGCACAGGAGGGTATAGTAGGGAAAATGCTGGATTTGATGTGAAGTAAAGGGGTGAATAGGTCATTGCTTGTTAGATTGAGTAAAGATAAAGGGTTTTTGAGGTTTTGAAATGAATGGTGAGCTCAAAGATGGGATGATGTTCTTGACCAAAACATTTCTAGTGCTAAAGATAGAATAAGCACCCTTCAAAGCAAGATCTCTTCTTACCAAAACATTATTACAGGATTTCAAAGCAAGAATTTTGAGAAAGTAGAAAAGCCTTTGTCCTGAGAAATCCAAGAATTAGGAATTAAACTTTTAAATGCAAAATCAAAGAGTATCAGAGGAATTGATGACTTCTATAATCCTAAATCAACTATGACGATCTATTTTAATGAAAAGAGGAATCTCAAATTTATGAAATGCATACAAAAGCTCAAAATTCCATATCTCCGGAAGATTTCAATGACTTCAATGTCGAGCAACAAAGCTGGAGTTAAAAAATTCGTCAAGAATTCTTTCCTCCAACAAGCAAAAGAAATATGGATTAGCAATGGAAATATACCTGTTGAAGAGGTGGAAGGGAACACGATAGACAAGTTCTCAAAAGAGATCAGTTTAATGATTCCCAAAGCTTTAAATAAGGTTACAATCTACAGGTTTGATATCAATCAGATTCAGCTCAGAAGAATTTTCTACCTCTGTAGAGATAAACAAGAAGTCAAATTTTCAGGCTGCAAGCTTCATCTTGAACCTGCCCCTGACCTCTCAAGATGTTTCTCTAATTGTACAATCCAAAAGTTAGAGTTTTATCTGTGCGGATGTTCTAAACTATCAAACTGGGACGAAACTCCCCAAAAACTTGAGCTCTTAATAAGCTTACTATCTGAATCAAATTCCCTACTGTCCAGCTTAAGACACTTGATCCTGACTTGTTCCAATCCTTCGTTTAAAAATTATACTCTGACCTGGCCACGAACAGTGCTGGAAGAAAAGTACATCATGCCACACATCCAACTCCGAACCTAACTCCCAATCCTCTTCTAAAACCAAAATTCCATAAACCTCTTCTTCACTAATCCCCAAAGTACACATTTACAGTAGAAATCCTGACCAAATCTTCGAGAATATCACTCAATAATATTTGGATAGAACGGGGTTTTGGGGTTTTGGGGTTTTGGGG